GCTTTCCATTGCTTGTACGTCTTGGAACGCTTTTACCTGGTGCGCTTTGGGATAACAGGTGCCAAGTGGAAAGAATCTCTACTCCCTGTGACCAGTCTGCTTCTTCCAGGTCATGCTGATCGGCCAGGCTGGCTGGTCAACCAACAACAGTGAACTGGAGGACTGCAGACCTGCCGGGCTCAGGAACCGGTCTGCTCAGACACCACGGAGGGTTGACTTGATTCCAACATTCCGCACTCAAGCACATCACGTTCAAGCGAGTTCAACTCCAAGGAGATTTCACTAACAATCCCTTCCCAAGGAGGATAACACACGTGTTGATTTTTGTGAGGTCAGGGTGTCAAGGGATATGGGGGGGGAAGGTGGGTATTTGGAGTTGCGGTGCAGCTCAGCCATGATCTAATAGAATGGTGGAACAGCCTCGAGGGACTGAATGGCCTACTCCCTTCCCTATGTTGTATCCGGTGCAGACACCACATTGAACCCTATTCTATGCTTCTGCTCATGGTTCATTTTATCATATAGGTAACTCATCACTCCAAATGGAACGGGCTCAGCAATTGGTCATAGAATAGAGCTTGAGGCAACACACAGACCAGAGGCATCTGCCATGCAAGATGATATCTTATAGGAGGAATTACATACTATAGGATATTTTACATATATTAGAATACTGCGGTCAAAAAAAATTAAACCATTATATCAAAGTTCTTCCTGTATTTTCCAAGTATTAAGCCTAAGTTTAATTCTACAAGAATTAATTCTCTGCCCCCACACTCTGGAACAACTCCATCCCATGATCCCTTCGCCTCATTTCCTCCCTCGCCTCCTTCAAGGCCGGTCTCAAGACCCTTCTCTTCGACCGTGCCTTTGGTCTCCCTCCCACCTCTCTGCCTTCCCTCACCCCTACCTCACCCCTCCCCCCGGCTCGGGCCCCGACACCTGACTTTTCAGTGCTTTGGGACGTCCTCCCAACGTGAAAGGCGCTCTATAAATGTCATTTTGTTGTTGTTGTTGTATCTAGTCTTTAAATCTTTAGAATGCACGACTGACTGGGCAGCATTATAATAATAAAAAATCGGCATCTTCCTTAGGCTAATGGATGAACAAAGAGTCACAACAATAAGTGGTCATTCCAGTAATGCGCGTAAAAGTCCTGGAGTCCTGTAGCTCAATGGTTAGAGCACTCGCTTTGCAAGCGAGAGACCTGAGTTCAAACCCCGGCAGGTCAGGGCCAAACCTTGGGCAAGTTTCCTTACTCCACACAGGATTATTAAAAGGCAAAAGTATAACACAATCAGTAACATGTTAAAGTCATATCCCACACATACTCTCTTATTATTAATGACATTAGAAGAAAAACGAATTCATTATATTGCCAGTAAACCGATAATAGCCAATTAAAAATAACCGTAATTTTTTTTCGAAATAATGTATGAAATCTTATCAGTTTGTAATCCCCACCAAGCACCAAAACCTTACTCGAATGTCACCGTTCGGGATTTTGCTGATATGAGATGTTATGTTATGTGTTGGAATTAAACGGAAATAACATTCATTCAAAACTCAAAACTTTTTCTTTCCTTGTTCAAATCAGATGCTTTTCCCCTGCAGTGTGAAGCGCTTTGAGACATCGAGAAGACGTGAAAAGCACTATATCAAATGCAAAGATTACTATTATTATTATTATTATTATTATACAGTATAGGAATCCCTGTAGATAAGTGTTGATCATTGTGTGTTAATGTAGAGACTCCCTTTGCCTTCATAACACGCTATCATTGGTGTTGCATTACTATCCTGGGATAATACTTAGTGTTACTCTATTTCTCGCAACAAATGTCAGCAACGGTGTAATATTACTAGCCAATACTTTTTCGATTAAAATCTATCAGCCTTTTTGGCCTGTGCTTTTCGGAGGCCTTTAAGTTGTCACATTGACAAGCCATGTTTGTCACTCAGCCTCGGTTGGCAGAAATAGAAAGGCGTTACAACCCCTGACGAAACATTTGAATGCACTTTGTTTAAATGTGCGTACATTGCGTGAAATGATTTTTATCACTCATGTGGTCTGGCAACCGTTGAAGTAAAAATCCTATTCCACAATTGCCACGTCAGCTAGCTAGCGTGCCAGCAGCTTCCCCCCCTCCCACCCAGCCAGTCTGTCCAGTAATTGATGATCCATACCACAGCTCTTCTGCATGTATTCAGATACTTTCCGGCAGTAACTTCACAGATTGAAGTGGTAAGGTTACATTTCTTTTCTGCAGAGCATTTTTCGAGGATACGGAAAGATACTTGATATTTGTATTTACTCGCAGTCGTGAAGCACGAAGAAAAGAAAAGGACCCTCACTTTGACGCACTGCTGCAAAGAAAACATTATTGGAAGCCAAGACAGACCATAATTTGAATGTTTTGTTCCTCATTTGGTTATTATTTGATCACTCGTAAACAAAGGGGAAGAGAGACTCATCGTGTCTTGTACAATGGAGACTAAGACATTGTTTGTGTTTATAACAATCCTCATTAAAATAACATAAACTTGGATTCTGCAATTTAGTTTCAACGTGAGAAACACTGGGCTGAGGCTATTGCGGTGAAGTCAGCAGTATTCGAATGCTCTGCTTCACTGGCATCTGTACCATGGCTGTGCTTTAATTTATTTTTCGCAGTTCTTTGCCCAAAGGGCCTTCTTCATCCGAATCAATCTTGTGAGAGTGGGGATGGACGTGACAGTGGAGGAAATGAAAGGAAGAGGTGTGGTAGCAAAAATCAGCAGTGGGAAACTAAAATAGAGAAACCCCTAAAGAAACAGCCAACAACCCTCCCGCTGTTTCCCTTGTACCTCCTCTGTGTCCTCATCCCTTCATCTCCATATATCAATCACAACAAAGATCCAAACTCTAAATGGCGCAGGGCTGCAGCGCGTGATTTTACCAAATCCTTCCACATCCGAATGCTGGGGAGAGAAAAGGTGAACTAGGCAAACAAAATTAATCTCAAATAAACACTCCAGGTTTAGCCGTTCTGCAACCAGCAAACAGGTTTATGGAAAATAAATGACTTGTAACGTGAACCCTGTGTCTGATGCACTCTGTTTCATTTCAAAACCCATGGGGTCCCTCGACAGATCGCCGTGTATCATTTCATATGTGACGCATGTTATTTATACCTAAAATTAAAAGCTTATATTTCAACAAAATGTTATTTTTTTTCATAAGTATATAAATGTCAATGGTTATTCCCATTCTACATGTGGCACAAATATATTAACCTGGACGAGTGTGCAGTATTTGCTATGATGTGAACGGGAGAATATTCTTCCCAAATATGCTACGTTATATAATTTGCAATTTGTACCACGGTGTGATGTCAGGTGCAGTCACCAACTCCAACCTACTGGTTCTGATGTTCAATAAACCAGGGAAGTACCAATCAAAGTTGTTTTAAAAAGTGTTATCAGGAAACTGACCATGCAATTAAAACAAAAAATACTAGTTGGATATTAGTAGAATTTAGACACCAGCAACAACAACTTGTGTTTATATAGTGCCTTTCATGCGGGCAGCGTCTGGAAAACATATATTTGTAATAACGGCTCTTTGCATAATGGAATTGCGCATTTCACGCTCGGAGGACATCCCAAAGCACCTCACAAGATTTACTATAAAAATTAATAGAGTGACTGTAATTCTGTGTCTTTTGCACACATAAAAACATTTTGTACCAGACATTCTGATCTACCTCTGTGTATTCAGAAATGATTAAAACCCTGATGATAATGAATTAAACCATCACGTTGTAGGCTTTTGCGGAAATATGTTTTCCTTTCATAGTAAGGTATTATATATTCAGTTGGAGATCAATTTTGCCTTTAATGGATGATATGCTCAGTCATACATTCAGCAACAAATTATATCTAATAGCGTTTGCAGTGATCTGAGTGCTTGATCTGGTTTCAAACAGTGTTATCAGGTTTCTGCTGAGTTTGATTTTGAACATCACAATGTTAGATTCCACTGTTACGTTAGGCAACCTTAAACATGAGCTTTTCCATTGAAAATTAGCGTTGTTTTCAGCAAATATCGGATTCAATGCAACGAAAAGGTTGGAGAATGTGACTAAACTACCTGTCTTGTATTTGAGATGGAATTCAGCCAGATCTGTGGTTGGAAAAGCTATGTCACAACATAATACTGGTCCAAGGTTTGAGTGCAAGATGAGTTGCATCGAGGCTGCCATTAAACAGAGTTTAAGTAGCCCCATGAAATTTTAATGAGAAATGTGAGGTACTGCAGATTTCTTAGTAAACTGAAATGGAAAGGGCAGGACAAGGTGACTGAGGGTTTGCGTTGAATTTGTGTAACTATCTGCTGAGATTCTGGTCTGTCTGCTGTCGCTAATGCTGCTGTAGGATGCGATGGAGCTCTCAGCTACATGCAGCTAATCCACACTACCAGAGAGAGAGAGATAGAGAGAGAGGGATAGAGAGAGAGAGAGAGAGAGAGAGAGAAAGGGAGACTGGAAGGAGGAAGAGAGCAAGATGAATGATGGATAAGTGGCAGAAGGGAAGGTATGTATACTAATGTCGCACAACTTGATTCGATTCGGCTGCTCACAAGGGTTTGGTTTGATAAATTGGGCGATGCAGTATTGACTTGTATTTTTTTGCTTCCTTTCCTATTTTCAGGAAAATCTTGTGCCATAAATGAGTTCCTTTTTTATCATTATTATTATTAAGTCTTGTTGTGTATCTTTATCTTAACAGCCGCTGTTCGGGGGTGACACTTCCTTGCCTTTCTCTGTCCCGTTTCTGTCAGCACAGTTGACCCCAATCCTGGTGTTAAGAAGGGTATTTCTCTCTCTTTCTCTCTCTCTCTCTCTCTCTCTCTGTGTATTCTGTGCTCATCAATCGCCTTGACTAATTGGAAATTGGTTGGTTTGGGACATATTTTTTTCCCCCTCCATCTTTTGTAAAAAGAGAGAGAAGTGCTTAGGATGTTTCTTCGGTTACACGTGTCTAATCTGGCGTTACTATTAATCGTTTTGAGTTTCGGGCAAGTGAGTGGAAAGTGTGGCAACCTGCTGTGTGGATTACATGAGGGCTGTTGTTTCTACGGCAATGGCACCAACCAATATATTCGGTGCTGTAAGCTGCCAATACACAACTTTCTGGACAACATCAGTTGGGTCCTGAGAAAACTCTCGGGAGTGTTGATACTATGTGTGCTCTTTGTCATTGGCTACTTCCTACAACGCATGATCTGCCCACAACCCAGACGCTACAGGACAGACACCTCTTCCTCTTTACTGAGCGACAACATGACCGCTTCAGACAACTGTCTTCTCGACCCCTTCACCGAGCAGGAGATGCGGGTGATCTCTCCTCATGCCGCCGCCATCACTCGGCCGCCCTCGTACGAGGAAGTCAAAGACTTGCCAAGCTACGAGGAGTTCATGCACAGCAGAGACAATGTAGAAGGCAACACAACAGCAGCAGCAACAACCACAACAGAGGGTCCGTCCATTTCAACAGACTCCCCCAGGCAGCAACGATCAGAGAGCGTAGAGAGACCGGCGCCTGAAAGCCAACTTGCCACCTCATCCTCAACCTTGACTATCCCACAAGGGGAAGCTTGTGTATCAAAAAATGTCACTTAGGAATCTATTAAAATCTGCGGTTCTACAGGATATTGTTCCTGATTGTTTCATGGGGACTTATCAATATTTCAACGCGATTCCCCCCTCCCCCCCATACCGCATGTTTGGCCAAAGTATCGCTGGTGTTAGACAAGGGAGTTTCTCTCTCCTCGTGTCGCTCACTCTATGGCTCGTGGGACATTGCTGTGTAGAAAAACGGCTGCTGCATTTTTCGCAAACAACAGTCAATTCACTTTACAGCAAATCCCTTGAAGCGCTTTGAGACGTCTCTTTGGAATTCCACCCCACAATCCCTTCGCCTCAGTCCCTCCTGTGCTTCCTTCAAGGCCGTCTCAAGACCTTCCTCTTCGACCGTACCTTCAGTCACCCCCCTGCCCCTACTCTCCCTGCCCTCCACCCCGCGCCCCCGAATCCCAAACCCCAGCTCGGATCCAAAACCCTGATTGCCCAGTGCCTTGGGACGCCCTCCCGCTGTGATAGGCGCTATACAAATGTAATTTCTTGATGTTGTTATTGTCTCAATGAGGTGATAAGGCGCTACATCAAATGCAAGGATTATTATTTATCATTATTGTGCTTCATGGGGCTAGCAAAGAGCAAGTACAGCAATAGGTGGAAAATGGAGTGGAGGGAGCGCTCAATCAAGCCTATGGAGTTTTAGTGACAGAAAGCTATTATTTTGACAGATTATATTTTTAAATCATTACGTCCATTAAGTCCTTTCAACATCCTTTCCATCATTTTTCTTTAAAAAGCCAGGCAAATGTATCAAACATGAATTGCTGTGAAACAGCAACGAAAGTGCATAGCTTTTTGGTCGCTAATGGTTGAATTGCCAGCATGCAGAGGAACCATCAACTAATATACAGTACTAACATTTTCCGCATAAGGTTTTAGTTGGTATCCCTGGGGCATAAAATGATGAATTACCATAAACGCAATGGAAAAATGGTCAACTGTGAAAGCAATGATTAACTGAGTCTTAAAATCTAAAGGGAAAGTACGCCTAACCCATCTGTTGCAGTCAGGCAAGATTTGGGATTTAAGGGACAGATCAAAGCCTAGTGTTGGGCAGTTTGTAAGCGCTAATAATTTAAGATGTAGAGTGCTGTACATTCCACGTGGTGTAATCTCAGCGTTTACTCTAATGCTGCAGAGTTCCAGAGTATGTTCTGTATCTGGTGCAGTGGACTCGGAAACCCGTCTGACCCTGAGATATCTTTCTCTCTTGCTCAATCGCGGAGGAGCCGCTGTTTAAATCCACAACCGGGCTTTTTGTCGTTCTCTCTCGACTTGTAAACCGCACATCTTGACTGTAGGGCTTTATTCACACATTTCAAAAACGTTTACTTCCTTGAGCCATAGGTGGTGCCACCCCCTCGCACACGTGATTTTACACTTGCAATAATTCGCCAGTTCATCCAATCATTTTTAAACTACTGTTGCTTTCAGCTGAAATTACACTAATATAATTGTCAAACGGCACGAAATATGAATGTGTACCCATTAACACTCACTGATTTTTCGATTATGGAAAAAAGGACAATAATTGAGTTTCACTAACCTGCTTTTTACAACTAATGCGAAAGGAAATTTTTTTTATGTAGAAATGGCGTAGAAAATCTAGTTTGATGTCGGATGGTATGAACTTCTGTTTATGGTGGAGTTGGTTACTCTGAATGATAATTGTGTAGCATCTCCAGCAGTTTTCGGCTGTTCGCTTATAACCGTGGAGTCCTGTAGCTCAATGCTTAGAGCACTCGCTTTGCAAGCGAGAGACCCGAGTTCAATTCCAGGCAGAGGGCGAAACCTTGGGCAAGTTTCCTTACTCCACACAGAGCCTAATAATAATCCCTCCGAAACCCAAAACGATAATAAATTGGTCATTTTCAATCCACGACTGTTTGTGGGACATTGCTGTGCGCAATTGGCTGCCGCGTTCGCCCACACATATACAGTCAATTCACTTTACAGTATATTCTGTGAAGCGCTTTGGGACGTCCTCCCGACGTGAAAAGCGCTATATCAAATGCAAGGATTATTATTATTATTATTAACCGACCTGTAACTGTATTGAGACTGCCCACACCGATTTCAGATAAGATTCTTACAGCCAGCGGAAAGAAGATACTTTCATTACTGTGGTCGTGGCTGCATTAAAACTCTATCTTAATGGTGAAAGGACAACATACACCCAATTTCAAATCCGCATTATTTAACTTTTCTTTTTAAATAAAGGGTTTGACAGAGTGCATTATGAAGCTAGACTTTTATTCAGCTGTGTAAAAAAATTCAATACATTTACAAGAGGTAAACTTCAAATTCGTGTTTTTTCTGGTGGGACAAACATGAGAAATTGTTTCCATCTTCCATTGAGTAGTATAAAAACACCTTCCCTTTTAACAGTACCCATTAAAATGAATCAATAAATAATAATAATAATCCTTGCATTTGATATAGCGCTTTTCACATTTTCTAGACGTCTCAAAGCGCTTCACAGAATATGCTGTCAAGTGAATTGACTGTATATTTTTGGGCGCAATGCAACAGCCAATCGTGCACAGCAACGTCCCACAGTTGTGGATTGAAGTGACCAATTATTATTGTTTTTTTCTTGATGGATTATTATCAGGCATATGGAGTAAGGAAACTTGCCCAAGGTTTCACCCGGCCGGGAATCGAATCCAGGTCTCTCGCTTGCAAAGCAAGTGCTCTAAGCACTCAGCTACAGGACTCCACAATAAAATGAATAAAATGAAAATGTGGCACAAAAAATTGTTTTGGTCAATTATGTAAATCTCTCCTCTCATGAAACTGATATCTGATTCAATAGATTGTTACTGGTGATTTATCCTCTTATTGAGCTGTTCATTACCAATTTTCTGCTTTCACCAAGATAATCACATATTATGTTTGAAGATGTCCTATTATTATGCATAATCTAATTTTTATTTGGTCAAAATAAACATCCCTATGTGCTGCATATTTTGTAGGGCCATAGAAAGTAGAGACCAAAAGTACAGGATAATATCTGAGTAGTTTGACCAACTCAAGGTGATTTCAGTATTATAATAAAAATATTATTAGCTTAAAGTGTGTTAAACATACCCAGATGCAGAGCAAACCGTTACATAGGTACATTTGTATATTGTTTAATGGTTATAGTCTTGCTTCTTATTTACTAATCTACAACCAGCAACATTGTTGATTCTTTTAAAAAGGAAAAGTAGCTTTCAGGTATTTTATGTACAAGATATATTTTAAAGGGTATACATAAAAGTAGCCCTTACAGGGTTAAAAGGAAATTTCCAGAGGGGGTATAACATTTCAAAGTGCAGATGGTACACATCTAACAGTAATAAAAACATAGGCTTTTTATATTGCAGATTAAAGCATAAAATAACTTGGGTGTTAATAATTCATAAAATACATTCAATAAATAAGTCTATTAATACCACAATTTCTTTTGACCCAATGTTTGCCAAAACTTCTGTAGGACGGTTCCCATCTGGAATTGTACTAACTTGTCTGTCAAAACAATCATGCAGTATATGCACTGTCATGTTGACGATATAATGCAGTTCAAATTTAAAAAGATGTTTCGTATATGAAAGATGAAAAAATTAAACATATATCCAGGTGACGTTTTACAAACTTAATTTATTATTAATAGCTTATGATGAGACGTATTACTAGGAATAGTTTGTTGCAAAAGAAGTGTAATATTTTGTAATCTTGAGCTTGTTGTCCAAAGCAGACCTTAGAAGTAAATTACATTTATCATTTTACTGTAAACCTAATAGAGAATAAAAAGCACACATCTGGAACATTACACAAAAGATAAATATTTGCTGCAAAAATGCTCTCTCGGAATGATTCACAATTACAATCAAAATATATTGAAAAAGATAAAATAGTGTTGTTTTAGAAAGTAGTCATTTATTTGAGATGCACTTCTTTCTTATTTCAAACAAAAACAACGATGGTACTTTGAAGAGCTTAAATGTTCTTCTAATACAACCATTGTCCAGATTAGCACTATCGGTGTAAGGACACAATGCTCCGGGATGCTGATACACTGGAAGTATTGCCTGACCGCTCTCGCTCTTTTGCAATCTCCACCTCGATTTTGGCTTGAATTTTCTCCCAGTTAACTTCTACCTGCAAAAGGTATCACATGAAATCAGTAGGAATAAGGACCCCAAATCCTATTTTAATGTGAATTCAATGGTAATATTGAAATTTGAAGGCATATCTGTTCTATACTATGTATATTAAGTACATTAAGGTGTAGATGACAATTCCAGCAATATTTAAAAAATATTTTTATTTTATAATATGAATAAAGTAGGAATATCAAATCTTTCTGCACAACCAACTGAGAATAGCCCATGACAGCTGGAGACCCTGGCGTCCTATCAGATGGGACTCATTAATCTGTCTGCACGACGTAGTTTAAAATGATTAGTTCCCACTTTAGGGTAGACAGACTTAATGACAATCTGTTCTTATAGTTACTTACTCCTTCTGCATACTGCAAAAACCTCTTATTGGTTTCTTTTTTGCTGAAAACGTCCAAAACTTTCTGCCTGTAAGCCAGTACAGTGTCCACATGTGTCTTGTGTTTTACAGCCAACTCCAGTGCTCTGAATTTGAAAAATCAATAAGATCATAAATACAGATGTCCTAAAACAGGCATTTGGCAAAACCATTTTATCTAACTGCAGAAACAGAATTTGGTAAAAATGAATGAAAGCCCCATTCTTTAAAATATAAAATATAAAATATAAAATATTTTTTTCCAGTTAAAGATAGAGGGCTCAAAACTGAATATAGATTTTTTTAATAAAAAGTCCCATCATACAAATATTTTTAATGATTATAAGAATCATATTAGAATTTTCAAATATCTCCACTCCTGTCTTTGACAACTGCTGCTTCAAACAATGTTTCAGACTCTCAAACACCCAAATCACAAGTATTCCTATTGTGTGAATCCCTTAATTTAAGGCTAATAAACTGTGAAAAAACAAGTGCTCGGTCAATAAAATCACTTATTTTGCTCTTACTGAGCTGTATAAGTGAATGCCCAATCTGCACATGGCTTACCAAGAGGTCACCATGGGGCCACCAGCAATTTTTGAAAAACTGTGAAGAAGCAGGACATTTCTGCTCCAAACACTCTGAATGCGGACAAACCCATTTCCATCACAAGTAAGTTGCTAATCGACTAATGACATATTTTCTACAATATGTTCTCACTAACTACCAAAATGGGCTTTCTTTGAGCGGAAGGCAGTCAACGATACAAAAACAACGAATGCACGAGTGATGCATTCACTGTAAGAAACTTGAAAAATGTTGTTAAAAATAGCTGATCTGTCGTGGAAGATTTTTAGGGCGTTGGGTGAGAAAGTTGATTTACATCGAGACGGCTCTAATTTTTTTTAAAAAAAAGTGGCAAACATTCTTTTCATTCCTTAACGAAGTGCTCTGAGACAATACCCCACGTGAAGGTCACCAGGTATAGATCTGCAAGTTGTCAGTTTACCTAATTTTGGAAAATCTGTTAAAAAAAATCTACTTTTGGAGAGTGATTGCAGTTCCTATAATTTAGCAACACTGACCCCTGGTGTCCATTTTTTGACACTGCGGAAAGACGGAAAGAACACGCGTTGTGCAGCTCCTCCACATCGTGCGTCTCAAAGCACTTCACTGTTTTGTCGTCAAGTGCAGTGGCTCTGTGTTGGCACATGTGGCAGCCATTTGTGTCGGCATGATCCCACAAACAGCCGCAGGGTGGTTGAGCAATCAATCTGGAGGACTGTGGTGCCGAGACACGAGGAGAACCTCATCCCCCCTTTCAAATACTGTCGTGGGATCATTAATTTCTACCTGAAAACAGGTAGATCTATGAGAGTTAGCACTGATTTTAATCCAGCATGGGATCTGTTAGGTCTCCTCACCTATCCCAGTTGTACAGGTCAATGTTTACTTGGATGGCCTGATAAGTAAGTCCTGCTTGGATTAGAATCCCTTCAGCATCTTGTACATTCCCAGTAAATAGCAACAGATGTGCCATTCGTGACTCCTTTGAGGGCAGGTCCTTGATACAGTTGATGTATTGCACTTTGTCAATCTTGAAAATGAAAAAAAAAGATTTTTCCTGAAAAACTACAAATGATGCAAACACAACATAGAAAAACGTATACACACAGCTTCTTAAAATATTCATTGTTTCACACCTTCATTTAATAATAAGCATTTAATTATGCCAACGTACATTTCAAGGATATGAAATTAGTGCAAAGTAATAGGTATTTCTGCATTTGACTAAATTAACCTTACCCTCCACATAAAATGCCTGACCATAATTCTATCCAACCACTCGATCTGATCATTACCCATGGCTTTGACATCTACAAGATCTCCATCACGGATAAGGCCATATCTACCATTTCCTCAAATACAGTCTGGTCTCATACCTCTCCAATCGCTGCATAGGCCACTTCTGCTGTTGTTAAGTCTTTGTTTGCGACTGCCATGGCAGCAAGGCACGCCCACATTGCTTGTTCCTGTTTGTAGAAAAACAAATACTTTCAACACACATACTGTTGCAATATTAAGTGACATTAGTTGATGGTTTATTACAATCAAATATACACAAGGCTCTAGTATCATCCCATTGATACTGTTTGTGTTCTCTGCACTTGTTCCAAATGGTTTGTTGAAGGGCCTGCTAATGTGTAATGCCATTAAAATCATCACTAGTAGCCAATCGGAAACATGATCATGTTATTCAATGAATGTACATCTTCACATTACAACATCCAAAATCAGCATCTTATTTATTGACACAAGTGTATCTGAAATAATTAAATCCTGTGAGTTCTGTGTTTCATTTCATTCAAAACATACATGTAACACAAACAGTTACTAAACATCCATTCCAAAAACATCAGCCTTGATGATGTGATATGTGATAGATGTGGCAGTCTTGAAATTCACTCTGTGTAACGTCTCTGTCCTTTCAAGTGGTGTTCAGCCCTTTCTGAACACTCAGTTTCTGCTCAGCAGAAAGTTCAATCTAGTACAGGCATATAAAATTCAATTGGCAATAAAGTCAAATGGAAGCTCTGGGAACCAGTGATACATAAATTGTGGATGTAAGTACGTGGGCAGAAGTTATGGGTTAATTCAGTAGATCAATATTATGTAATCCTGAACTATTCAGAAATAAAAGTTATAGTTTGGCAAAGCTCAAACCAGAGAAGCATCATCTGATTGTCATTATAAGCACCTTAGTTTGACTCAGATGTTGCTTTAAAAACTGCCAGAGATATTGTTTCAATAGCAATGAATAGTGTAGGATCGCCGTGTGGTGATATTTTCCACTAAACTGCCTTTTAAAAAGGAATCATCTGCTTAAGTAGCATCAGCAGCAATGCTGTGAAAAGGTGAATACACAAAAGCTACTCTAAGAAAATAGCTACATTAATCTTTCAACAGCTGTTAAGGAGTGGGTAATGATTACACGAGTTATTCTGTCAGTCACCTCATTTACTCAGTAACCACTGATCATATCATCATAAAAAAAATCTAGTTACCCTGCAGATTCATTAGTTAGCTCCAAGAAATATAGTTCAGACTGACATACTGGTCAAATAAACAAACCAAAAAAACATAATTAACAGGGATATAAAACTCATTACCCTGGCGTCTCTGTCAGATGGGGGTCTATTATTCTGTCTGCATCCTACAGTTTGAAATTATTAGTGTCCCACTCTAAATATGGAGTGCAGCTGGTCTAACCAGTGAAACAACAATGAAAGATCTTATGATCCTCCTCCGCCTGACACTCCACTGCAGCAATGAGGGAACATTGCATTGTTGGAGGTGAGCTCGTTTGGTTGTTACATTAATCCGACGTCTTGTCTGACTGCTCTGCTAATTCGGTGGACATTAAAAAAAAATCTAAGGAAAGCACTATTTCAAAGAAAAGTGGGTAGGTTCCAGGAGTCCTGGCTAACATTTCTCCCTAACCAAATTTAGCAATTTGGTCATTCATCTCATTGCTGTTTGTGGGTGACTGTTGTTACAGTCTAGTTGCTGTGGCTGTCTACAAACAATAGCAATTGTACTTCAAAGTAACTCATTTGTGTGAAGTGGTTGAGATGTTTTAGAAGGGGAAGGCACAATATCAAACGTAAATATAACATTAGGGCTGGGGAAGCAACAGGAGACTTTAATAACTATGTTATTGACATGACGCAGTACAAATAATTTCATGTTGTTTTGTCTATATATTGCTCAAACACAGAGACATTCAGCAAGCAGAATACACAAGTCTCTTATTGATAGAAACGCTTGTAGTTCAAAGCCTTAAATTAAAATCAATTAAGTACTCTAAATTCAGCATGTCCTGCAGGCATTAATACATTTGACAGCTATCAAAAATCGTTGTTTGAAACTAGCATTGCTGAATTGATCAGTCATTTCCTGATGGATGTTTAATTTTGCTCAAGTTGCTTCAGCACCAATTTCAAGCCACCATTTACGTTTTTGCCTTATTTTGTCTTTTGTCGGTTATTCTTTTGATCTTCCTAGACAATTAGACAATTAGAGTGCAAGAGAAAATACCCACTGGGTGTTTGTGAATGGTGCTGAACAGAGGTGCAGAAGAGTGAGGATAAACACCATCACTGATCTTTCCCTCCCAGAGAGACAACTATTTGGTTTCTCCTCACTGTTTTCTCCAATTGCACAGAAGAGAAGGAACGTTTGGTGGAACACCTCTTCTGCGCAATAGTATCTACAAAAGGCACATGAGGTGCGTACTTAATGTAATGGGCTGGAAGGGAATCTGGGTGTAGTCTGTTAGGGAATAGAGCTGAAACAAAGCGTACATCAGCAGTTGTGTGCAAAATAGTAGGTCAGAAATAACTGAATGTACAGTATCCGATATAAATCTTACATGGCCTTTCATACATGAAAGTAAACTATTTAAATTTGCTTAGCTTAATTTGCTTTGCTTAGCTTAACAGCAGGGAAGAGAACAACTGTACAATTTTAGTTGAAATGTTTGATGTTTTGAAATGCTATTAACTGTGGAAATCAAAGAAATGAGACTCAATGTGTAGGCAAGAGTGAAAAGGAAAGGATAAACCATTTATGAGTGATGAAACAGTAGGAAACAAGATAAGGAAAACCTTACGTTCAGACAGCAGCAAACTAACCAATTCAGGTGTTGTTGCCTTAGGTGACAAAAAAAAATTGAAAGCAGTTCAATGCAGCAACCAAAAAAGTAGATTTGATGTACAAGTTGCAATGTGAAGCCTTTTTTTAAATACTGTAAATATAGGAAGCAAATTACATAGTTTTCTGCAGAAACGTTTGCAGTGCATAAAGTAGGTGAAGCGCAGCATAGACCCACCCAGCACTCTTTGTCCCAGTAATTCTGTGTCATTGCAACTTTATTGAAAAGATATTTCAAAAGCATTTACTATATAGCTCCCTTATCAGTGTCACCAGCACAACTTTAACACAACTTTATCAAAAAGAACTTTTCTAATGCAATGTTTTATTTCAGAACCAATCACAAAGGTATAGATGACAAATCCAACAGCTGCAATGTTTCTTCTACTGCAGATCTTTCAAATCTAATTGTGCAAATGCAGAATGAGGACACAACAACAATGTGGTCATTTTAATGATGTGCAAGAATTTACTTGTTTGGACACTGTCACATTTCTGGGGATGCTCTGTTTGCCATCAAATCTTTAGATCTGCTTTTATGTATCGGGAATTAATTTGATCACAACTGGTTTTCCTTCAAATAAAAAGTGTTCTTTTGTTTTAAAAAAAAGCTTCCTTTTTCAAATCCTGCAGAAATGAAACAGAATACACAGAGAATAGGAAAGAGAATAGGAGAAAAAGGTTGACAGAAGCAGCAAATAAAGGATTTACAACTCTTAAATGTAATCCTCTAACAGTAGGCAGGTCTATGAAAACTCACTTACTCTGTGGGTTGAGTAGATTTGCATAGTTTCAGCTAATGTGCGAATACTGAAAAAAAACTAGTACTGTGTTTTAATATTAAAAGCTTTCACTTATCTTTTTGAAACTTTCAGCACTTTTAGGAGGTGGGAGAATCTTGTTTTAAACAAAAAAAAGACTGGAAATTGTCCTTACAGTTTGGCATTATCTATTAAATATCAAAAACCCCTGTATTTTACAAGTTGATTATGCAGCCAATGAAAAGCTAAATGATAAAGTTTGTACGGTCACATCACAGATGTGCCGCGATTAATCAGACACTATTTTGTATTTAAATCAAGACCTAGCAGTGCCTTAACACTCAGAAGCAAAGATGTAATTTTAACATGTAGCTCAGTTGTTTGCAGTAATTGTGTTACTGTTATATTATCTCAGTGGACAATGCCTAGACCTACATGACTCAAGGAGACAGATGTGCCATCACGCTAAGGATTCTATTACCATACTGGTGTCCTTTTAGAGTCTAGAAACACATAAAAAGATCAAAACCTCTGCTAGCATTGGATCAAACCTATAGCTAAGCACTAAAACACCAGAATCCTACTATAATGAGACCCTTAAAGAAGGGTGAATTTCCATTATCAGTATGACACCCACATGGATACTTACATTGGCAAATTTACACCAGAGTTAGATGTATGCTGGAGTTTCTCCAGTAGTAGTGTTAAGGGGGAATACATGTGGATACGTTTCTTGCAACTTAAATGGAAAACAAAGTTTCTACAAGTTTCAACATGACAAACACAGTTGTAACAACATCGCAGGATGTCAACAGTGGCTTTGTATTATAAACATCAACTCACAGGATTAGGAATTGACTATTTTAGGCTATAACAACAATGATTGCAACCAGACAGAAAACTATAACAAAAACAGCAGAAAAGATGCAAAATACACAAAAAAGCAAAATATTGCTTGAATAGTGGAGTGGATTATACCTCATTTGAACCCAAGATTGTGTAACACAAAATTTAAGTATGTGAAAATGTAAATTTGAAAGCAAACTTAATTGTGAGCAATTGCCTTTATAATGTAGATGCATATAATGAAGTAAATCATATAGAAACAATGTTACATGAAGATCAATATTTGGATGAACAACACATCACACATGAACAATTCAATGAATGCACAGATTTTGGCGAGTCAGTATTAGCGGTTTATTATTTAGGAGTTTGTAGTGCTCAATTGAGCGTCCAAGAGGTTTAAGTGCTTTTGTCCCTCATGTTTAAACAGTGACTGACTTGATTCTCACCACCAGCATTTATAGTTAAGGGCCATTAAAGTCAGTTTCTATCAAAAAAATAAGCGCCAAGGTTTTTTTTGTGTTTCTTTCCCCCCAGGCTCTATTTTCTGTCCTGAGAAGGAGAAGCATATTTTAATATATCTGTATTAAGAAAGAAGTCTTGTATCGGAATGACATTTCAGATGAAAATTGGTTCTCTAGTTACACACTGCAGATTCAGTTTCATAAATTATAACAACTATACAACCAGATTTAGTAAATCAAATAAATCAGCCAAAAGTAGTTATATTGTTAACAGAAACTCTTAGTGAATTTTCATGAATGCTTGTGGCTCTGTGATTAAACTTATAACATGATTACAACATGAATTGAAATATGCTATCTATTCCATAGAAATGGACCTTCTCAATGACGAAATCTGAATTTAATTTACATAGATTTCTCTTTGTAAATACCTTAACGAAGCGACAGAGTCTAACAGCATCATCCCACTGTGAGGCACTGATATATTCATGTAAGATGGCTGGGTAGGGTGATATACTTGTATATATCAGTGAGCCATCAGCTCTTCTGATTGTCACCTGGTTTCCCACATAATTCACAATCTGTGGACTTTTACCAAATTCACTGCAAAAAATTAAACAGAGCCTCAGTATAATTGCACAAAAGGTTGGAGAAACATTTATCACAATCAAGAAACAACTTTTTATCACGTCATTTGCAAACTTCCTGTACAAAAGCAATGTAATTAAAAAATGTTGAATAATTACTTACACCTAGCATAGGATATCAGACTGTAGCAATCGCCTTTAATCAAAAAAATTTTGTCAAAATAATTTAATAAAAAATAATTGTGTAGTTTCTGTGTGTAAATATATACATTTTCACTGTGAACTGGTGATTAAGATTTTTATCAATATTTGCAAACAATGACAAAACACAAAAACATGCCTGCAGTTTATATTAAACATATGCTATGGCTGGATGTTTTATAAAAAGATAAAAAGATAATTTTATACCTTGCATCTTTTTCATAAACTGTTTTGGATAAAAGCTCCTTGTCCACATAGACTGTGTTGGGATAGTACCAAACTACGAAATGCATGTTCTGCAGTCCACACAGTACATTGATTGTATCATTCCAAGCCATTGAGTGCACCATAGTACCTGATTATTTTTTTAAAAAATCCTTCAGTTAGAGTTCAATTTCTTTATTAATTAATTCTCCCCTACATTGTAATGTGTTATAGGAAATACCGTACAATGTTAAAAAAATCTTAGTTTTAGACAAACTGATCTGTTCACACACGTTGCATTTTACTCTGCGTTGGCTCAATGTAGGATGCAATTATATTTCTTTGTTTGCTTGCAGTGTAAATGTGACATCTGTGAATTGCTCAGATTAACCAATGAGAAAATGTGTCTGTAACAATTGCTATGAAATCTTAAATTCAGAACTTACTCATTTTAATTATTCGTTGTTCCTTTCCAAATCTACGTACAGAAGAAATGTAAAGATCTCTATTTTTATCAATGATGGCAATTTTCCTTTCATTAGGTGAACCAAATTGATCCAGTGCAATCTCCATCACCTCGATCTGTAACAATCAAAGAGGTAACCAAATACTCGGTTACATTATGATTATAACCCAATATTCTGTACATTGTAATACCTGTCAGCACTCACTAGGTGCTGTCATACACCAACTATTCAATAGTTATCTTTTTTCTGAAATATCATTATTATAAAATTCCCCATTAGAAAGATTGGAGGATGGTGACCCTAATGGGGCCACACTTGGAGACCCGAATGAAGACCTTAGACCTTTATAGAAATAAAGTAGTAAAAATAAAGATACACAAAGGTACTTTTTTGACAGCAAAAATTGTGTGATTAAATCTCAAGTTGTGTTTCAAGAGAAGAGCATCAGCATTTTGTGAAGACAAATCATTAAGAAAAAGTAAAACAAAAGATTTTGTTTCAGCACAAATTCAGTTGAAACATGTGCCAACAATTTAGCTGGGGAAAATTCAAAGTTTGAACTTTTTTCCTCATGGATATTTTCTATGAAACTGGACCAGACATTCAACCCACAGAGGGAGTGATACAGTTTATGGATGTCATATCAGCTAACAGTGTATTATTATTTTCCATGAACATTTTATTTTAATTTACAAAATTGCGTGCAATCCCAGGATAATAACTGGAATTGCTAGAATAACAAAAGCTGGCTTGGGTGTTGTCTTATTCATTTCTGCTTAACCTGGAATTAAATTTCACTCACAAAATATACAGTCAATTCACTTTAGATTATATTCTTGAAGACGTGATAAAGCGCTCTATCAAATGCATTCGACTCGCAAGCAAGAGACCTGGGTTCGTTTTCTGGCAAGGCGAAACCTTGGGCAAGTTTCCTTGCTTCACACCCTGATAATAATCCCTCAAGAAAAAAAATGCGAATAAAATTGGTCACTTCAATCCGCGACTGTGTGTGGGACGGTGCTGTGCGCAATTGGCTGCCACGTTTCGCCTACAAAATGCAGTCAATTCGCTTTACAGTATATTCTGTGAAGCGCTTTGAAAACGTCTAGAATACGTGAAAAGTGCTATATCAAAAACAAGGATTATTATTATGATACAGTGGAATACCAACTTTGTTCCCATTACAAAGGACCTCCTCCCGAGATTCAAATGGATGTTTCATTGTTCCCATGTGTGTTCTGCGTACACAAACCGTGTAGAGGTTTAAAATAATAATGATGAATGTGGGATATTGAGTAGGGGCATAGTGATTTAGCACATCATTGTTTCACCTATGGGACTACGTTTGAATCCAGTTCAGATTGATGGGATGAATCCCCTTCGTTCCTCTCTGTTGATTGCAAGAGTATCAATTCAAGGATTAATTTGAACTATTTGAGATAACTCATTTTTGCATAATACTTAGCTCACTGTATCACTAACGACTTATTTCATTTGGCTTCTTTAAAGTTTATAATGTTGGCCTTGTGCAACCAAGTGCAACTTTAATGATCCTTCTGCTGAATGGCTTTTAGAACTATTATGTTAGTGAATGATTGAATATTGTTTACATGGATCCAGTAGAGGATAGCTGACCAGATAGGATTATTATTCAGAACCCAAAAGTAAAAAAAAAATTCTGAATAAAAAATAAAATAGTAAAGAAAGATAATAGGAATATAGAATAGAAAAAAAGGAAGAACAGAACATGTTTGAAATGTAATTATTCTTTGGGGCACATTACAGTCTGTACTGGATTAGGCTATCAGTTCTGCAGTTGGCTACCAGTTATTTCAACTTTTCTGACATCTGAGTTTGATGTCAGAAAAGTTTGTGAAATGTTGAGTCAATCACATCTATGACTTCAACACGTCAGTCTTCGATTTCTTGATCTTCTCCTCCGAAAACAATCATCTTTGCTGACAATTTTCAACCAATCAAAGGAAATATTTTTCCAACTGGGATTTAACTCCAAAAAGAAGATAAACAGGTGTTTAAAATAACTTCTTTTTTTGCAAAATACACAATTTTTCCATAAGGCTCTAACTTGCTGCTGCAGTATAGTTTGAAGCTTATATTCCGCTGCCAACAACTGTCACACGTCACAAATTGATTAGTAACACATACAGGAAAGGTCACTATCTTTCTACACAACTTAAATGAGGCTAAAGAAAACAGGATTTTATCATTTTAAAAAGTTCCATAGTCCTTTTTGTTAAGTCATTTTCTTGTCTTTTTTTGTCAGAACAGCCCGTCAGCTGGTTGAGGAAGCATGTCTGCAGTAATAAGTGTGGCTGTTCACTTTCATTTGTTGTTCACACACATGAAAGAATGTTACTGTTACTGTCAGAGGTTCTGATTTAATACTACTCAAGTTTAAACAGGAGGCAGATTGGAAACAGAACAGGGGTAGTGTTACAGCCTAAGGGAAAGGAGTGATGAGCTCAGGGTCTTACTGCAGTGAATTGCAACAAATTACCATACAAGATAGACAGGAGTCCACAATACTTTAAAATACTAATTACCATTTTGCACACACAAAAAATATATTTTTACTCCGAAGGAAAACCTAAATTCTGACAAAATTATGTGCAATCGTAGCAGTAAATAACATGCTCATATTTTAAGCCTGATATTTTAAGGTTGTACTCAAAAAAAATAAAAAGCAGAATTTATGATTCAATTTTAAGTTTAACATTAAAAAAGAGCTGATGAAGTACTGTTTTGTTTTGACTTTAAGCACGACATGGGCAGTTCAATGTCAATGGACTAATAGGTACGCACTGAGTTCTGCTTTTCCTCAATTCAACAGTAAGCATAATTCGATTGTCTGCTTCCACCACTCCGAAAATTGGACTAGTATGATATCAGTACCACGAGTATAATTTGCACTATTAAGTACAATCTGCTCCCTTTANTTTTGCTATAATTTGTGCGACATTTTTCTTACACATCTCATCTTGGAAGTCCTTTCCAAATTTTACAATTGGGATTTTAAAATCATCTCCTTTTACATAAAGTGATCCAAAAAAACCTTGGCTCTACAGCCATTTAAGTGGCTGTGTTAAGCCCTTTGGGGTAACGAAGTACAAACTCTGGGGGATGGTCTCAAAGATTGATCGTTGCATTTATCTGAAACATGATACATGGCTGGGGAGCATGTAGTGATTGCAACAGGACCAGTTCCAAACTGTTTCCTAAAACCTGTTTTTCTGAACCACTATGTATGATATAGTACTAAGAGTCTAATCAACCGTTACACTGCCATTTAAAAAAAAATCTGGGATGACTTGCATAATTGTACATCATTAAGTAATCATCTTACTTCAGAAGAAAAGTAATGTTTAAAGTAGGTTATGACACAGACAATTTTATTTTGCAATAGAAATGAACTATGTGTTACTCCATGATGTGTCCTGTTAAATTGTTTTAGTGCTCTTATAAAACAAAGAATTCTACTGTACATATGGATTCTCTCTACCATGCATTAACATTTGGCCAAAATGGAGCTAAGGTTTTAGTGTTTGTGTACTGAAATGTGGCTGATCCCATTCACGTCTTGTAGACATCTCAAATCGCTTTACAGATTACATTGTAAAGTGAATTGACTGTATATTTTGTGGGCAAGACACGGCAGCCAATTGCGCAGAGCAGTGGTACAGAGGTACAGAAAGAGGGAAAAGAAAGGAATCCAAGGACTCTGCATTTCTCAAGTTCTACCTTCTAGCATTGACACCAATAGAGACCAGGATAAAATATATTATAAATAATGTAATAATGGTTCTGCAAGCATCACGTAAAGCGATTTCAATATGTTCACATTTTTATTTTTCACCTCCAATGTGATGCTCCACTAGACAGCCATTTTGTCTTTGTGAACAATTGCATAATCAAGTGTCACTTACATAATCAACTTATGACACAATGGTAAAAATAATTAAAAGATGATATTTTGAACCTATGTAAAAACACAATTAAATTATTAGTTTCAATGAAAGAAATGAAATGTAATATTTGCACAATCCATTTACAATTATCCCAACACAAGTTATACTACATACCTTATGTATAAGAGGTTTTCCATCACCAAGAGATTTTCCAGACAGTGCATCAATCAGATACATCACTGCAACAAAATGTAAGATAATCAAATTGTAATGAAATCTATTAGTTACATATGTAGTCTAATGATAACAAATCATATAATAAGTAAGGATGGAATACTCATTTTATTCAACACATCAAAAGGCATCACAAAAAAATAAATCTGCTGTGCTGCTAAGGCTAAACTTACCTCAAATGACATTGTACTTAACAGATGTTATTCAACAGTTAGGGAGAAAAAAAAATAACCTTTCAAAATCGAACTTACAAGTGAAATAAGAGTTTAAATCATCCCATCAGCACAAAACACTTCCAAAATTTCTCATTTACAAATGATCATAGATAATTTTACAAATAAAGTGCAGCTTGCAATATATTCCCCTACCATTAACTGTAAATCCGATTACTGTATAGGCAAGACAGTTACAACAGGGAAAAGTGTCTAAAAATACTATATATTTTAACTGAATCATTTTAAAATTCATACTACCCAAAAATATTTCTGTACCAAATTCAGAGTTGTTCTGCCTTACCTTTATCATCAGCCTTATCTCTTATGGCAACTGTATCATTGCTGAGGGAGATGGTTTGTGAACTCAGTATATCAGTTCTCATCCCTGGAAACTTGGGAGAAGAAATCAGGCGGCCCTCATACGAATATAAATAAATCCCTGCTCCGTCAACCAGCAGAAAGTGCCTATAAAAATAAAGAAACTATACTATGTGCAGCTCTAATCTTACAAAACAACAATCATTGGAAAATCTAAAGAAAAACATTCTACGTTTCTTAACATAGTTTGAATTTGGCATGAAATATTTTGGATCATTTTTTCAGTAAACATTTTATGGTAACTATATTTTGATATGTTTTTAAGAAAATAAACAGCAAGTGTGAATAAATTCATAAAACTGGACTACAGTTTATTTTGTATATAAAAGTTCACTGTGATCCAAATTTACAAGAAATTTGGTTTTCATGCTGATTTTTATTTCAGAACAAGTCTCTATTCACATTCCCAATTTGCTTTGCATTCTTCTGTGTTCTGGTTACACTAAGCATTCAGCAATTAATACAGATTTCTCACCTTTCTGCCTGTAGAATTAAACTAACTGTACCTTCTTTAAGGTCAAATACCAATGGAGTATTCCAGTTCTTTGTACTGAAACAAAAACAGTGAATGAATAACATGTATTACATAAATGCACAGATGTGTAAAGTCACATCAAGTCCTAAAACACCTAATAGAATATTAGGTTCTTATTGGGTTTTGTTGAACGTGTTATTGCTTAAGAAAACTAAATCAAAAGTACAAAAAGTATCACTGTATATGGAGCGCTACAAAATGTATTTTAATGCACCTTTTGACTTTTCTTTTCATTGAACATGAAATTTCGATTTACTCTGAGAGGTCAGTTAAGAGACATTTGAAAACAGTTTTGCCGAAGGCTAGCACTCGTATTCTGGAGAAAATATTTTGCCAACCTGTATACGTAACACTGTAACGAGGTTACAACCACCAAATGCCCGTGAGACAGAGAGGCCTTTATCACTCGGTCACGGAATTCTAGGACATCTAACGCATCATTTAGCACATTCCGCACCTGTTATGTAAACCCAAAAAAATATATATATATATTGGGGACTTTTATCACAACCAAATAAGGAGCCATGTGAAGTGCTTCAAAATTAAGGATGATTGGGCAGTTCCAATCAGCACAGATTTCGTTCAGGCTAATTTGTTTTCCGCGAGGAACACGGGTGTTTTGTTTGGTTGCTCACTCCAAAAATTGTCGGAATTCTGGGAAAGAAGGACCTCAATATAATGACTCTTTTCAGCATAAATGTTTTGTGCTCGGTTCAAGAAGAACCAGCAGAGGTTAAGCCTTGTTACTGTAACTTTATAAACAAAGCATTTGCTTCTAAAATAATTTGAACTACCAGTAAATACTAAATAATTCATGTTAACAATCTAATTTAAATGGTCTGGAAAGAACTTCCATCCAGACCTACGGTGCCCCTTAATTTATTACATTTTCTTTCCCCATGTTTTGATTAAGTAAATCACCGTGAACTGCAGTTAGCCACAACTATAATTTCAAAGTAGCATATCAGCAATACTTGCATAAAGTGTGAAAAGTTTTCATAAAGTAGTAAAAATTTCCTTCACCATAAAAGCAACCAAATACAGCAAACACTCCAATTACTGAAGCAAATGATAAAACATTAAGTTTAACTTCATCATGAAAAGCTCAGTAATTTGATAATTAGTTCGAGCACCTTAAAAAGATGGGACACATTTCAAGAATCAAAGAATAATCGATGCCAACAACTATCCAGGAATTTATCACTTCAATCAAAGCTTCCAACAGAAGTAAATCTATACGTAGTACACCACATCAACCTGTTTAACTCTCTCACAGTTTTTTTTTCTGTGTCTACAAATACTTAGTAATCAATTAGAAATAGATTATTTTAAAGAATTCCAAATAAGCTATTCCAGATCTGTGGCTGAAAACAAACTTTTTTTCACATAATCTGTACCATAACTGATATATGAGACTACATACAAAATTTTAAAAATGCTAGGTGAGAAATTCCTCTTGCTGTTTTGATGACTTTGATGATATGACCATAGAATGGGATTTTACGCTTATAAGTGTATATATCGACCAAAGTCATTGCATTTAGTAGCAAGAAGAATTCCACCTCGCCCTGACTCCATTCTGTCCACAATTGTATTAGCAAATGTAATTGGCTTAGAATTTACTGAATATGAGTGAGTTTTTGATATCGTATATAAGCATATACTATATATTAATATGAAAGCCGGAGCATGATGTACTCTTAGGTCAAAGTTATAATTCCTTCATATTACCTTTATAATGCTTAGAATGTGCCCGATCTTTAACTTCTTTGAGGTGGACTTAAACACTTGCTCTATAGTTGAACGGCCAATGTTCTAAACTACCATTTATTTGTTGGAAATTTCTATCTAGGTTAGTCTCTTGGGGATAAATAGTCATTTATCAGAAGTCTCTGACTGCAGCACCAAAATAGACACTGTACAATTAATACACGTAATGCACATTGTGTTACAAATAAAACATAAATTACAATGATAAACAGGCTAGAAATAATAGGTATGCATCGGTAGTTTGAGATACTTAGGTGAAAAGAATTGTTTGATTATCGTATTATAAAGGTGGTGGAAGAACTCTATCTGAACTCAAGCCTTAGGGAGCTCCACAAAGTAAAATGGGCAAATGTGTTCCTGAATTACTGCTGTTCTGATGGATATACACATTTTCTATGCTGCTGGATCTGGTTTCATAAAGGATTATTAGAAACTGCTTTTAATGTGTTATTTATGAAGCTAAGGAGTAGAGATTGGTTGCTCTTACGTGTAAAAGCAGCCAGATGGATTTGGTGTCTGTGCTCTCATGGAGCCCGACCAAATTTGGTGAACATTAATCAAACAGAACTGTAATGATCTTGTTACACAATGACTCAAGCTCTCAGTTGCTGTAACATTTGAAACCTGTTAATATTGCTTTTGTTACATGCAGACAGACAATGTTGACATATTCAAACGTGGCAAAAAAGAAAATTAGAATTGTACATTTGAATAGCTGTCCTAAGACTAGGCACCACCTTTTTTTTTAGCAACAATTTGTTAGAAATGATATTTGACCCTGAATCTTGAATATAGATTCATTAAGTGACAAGGTGTCATTTGGGTATAGTGTAACATACCTGATCCATAATAAATTGCCAAAAGTTATGATGATTTTCAGAAACTGGGAGTGGTAGATTATTTCCGTGCAGCAAATTTGGTTTAGAAATTAAGCTTTACTTGATTTGTTACTAACCAGTAAGTTTTTTTTTTAAACCTGATTTTCATAAATGTGTTTACAATTTTATCTGGTAACTTATAATACGGTACCCTGGGGTGCGATTTTCTCTGAGGTGAGTGGTAGCAGATTTACTGCTCAAATTTGCACTACCATGCAAAACGCATATTTTCTTTCTGCCAGCTGTATGCATAAATTTTAAATGTTCACAGAGTAGACCATCTACACTGTGGCGATCATTCTTCTGCAGCTGGAATACTGAAGACCAGTGATTCTCATTGATGACTGTGTGGTAACTACACCTTTATTTGTGACATGCTTTCACCCACAACTCTACAATAGCTTGGCTCTTCGTGTGCATTGAATCAAAATATTACATCGATGCTTCAAAACAATCACAAAGTTACTGTACTGTGCCTCAGAACATAAATGTCTGAATGCTATCATTTTGGGGAAAAAAATCATTGTTCTTGCGCAAGGTTCTTGTGTTCTTCTCCAGAAGGCATATATATCATTCTATAATTCTCTATCCACAGATGGCAACACCAAAGGAGCAGAGCAAGTCATACAAAAAGCTGGTATTATTGGCCTGCTGGTATATTGTTGACTGGAAGCTTGCTCATTGCCAATTTGTCAGCATGATCTGCTTGAGTGCTCAAATGGCGGTTGGGGAAAAAAAGCAGAAAACTGCAAAAATGCAATTAGAAAATGATATTGTGGTTGACAGTACTAAAGCTCACCACTTGCATGGCAAAAATGCCATCCATGACAAACTTTCCACAATTGTTGATCTTATCTTTGTGAAAGATCATTCATATCAATTTCAAGTAAAGAGGAACCAAGATTGAGTATTGAGAAACATCCAAATTAAGATCTAGGTTTGAAATCTAGAATGAATAATTACTCCTCTATAAATTATTATGGGCAATGATAACATTATTATAAAGAAACGCTATAAAGACTCTTGGTTTTCCAATAAAGCCTATTATTGGAATATAGCAACTTCTACTTGTAGTATAGATGCTTGTATTCCGCACCCCCCCACACCCTTTGATAATATTCTTTTCTTTCTTTCACTTTACAATGAAAGAAAGTAAACCATGTCAGACTGTGAAAATGGGAATTACAGGCCACATGAGAAATATAGTAATATGTGCTTGAACAGACTTTATTTACACAGTGCTTAGAGGCACGTTATTGCCAGGGCATTGTCTCTTCTGTTCTATGGGAATGCCTGCCCTTCTTTGGCATCGGTTGCGAAAAATATCCTCTCGGGCTCAGCTGGCGACAACAAGAGAGAGGCACTGCTCTTGGTATTTGCAGGGAAATTACTGGAGGCATCAAAGTATCTTGTGACTAAAATGTACCATCTCGTGTAATATTTTTCTCCAAATGTCCTTGTTTATTTTTAGTGTTCTCGACAGTGCACACAGCTTCTCATACCAAAGTCGGGATCACAGCAGGGAGACAATTGTCATGGTTGTATGTATGAGAAATGAGAAACTTGTAACCTGAAGGGCATTTTAGAAAAAAAGTTTTGACTTGTGATGACATTTTATAAATGTTTCCTCAGCTGTTAAAAGTTTAGTAAACTGTAAATCTTAGTAAACTAAAATTTTAATTCTTAAGACTACATGACATATAGTTCCTTGGATTCCAAGAACAATGATGAAGTTCAGAAACTGGGAGTGGTAGATTTACATGCTGCAGATTTCATCTAAACATTACTTTTAAATAACATTTGCATTTTATATAGTGCCCTTCAAGTAGAATACATCTCGGAGAGCTTTAGTCACAGACAAATACCTTATATAGTTTGCATAAAATATAACAAAAGGCCTACTCTCGACATATTTAAACTGGAAATGTGCAAACAGAATTTTTTGACTTGAAATTCTAGCACCTGGGAAAAAACTTATACTTGGTTAAATGTTAACATGCGTCTCTTAAAAATTCTCTTCATATTCCAGTTCCATCTGGAGTAGATTTCAAAGAAAAATACCTGCATAGATCTTCTTTTAGTTAATGTGATTTCAAAGTTCTTCCATTCCCAGCGCTGCTCTACAATATGGGCAAAGATCACATGGCCATTCCCACAAGCTCCAGCTATCTGGGTGCCATCTGCAGACCAAGCAATATTGAACACACTCCCTGTGTCTGGCTTTTCAAGTGCATAGGACCACTGTAATATAAAAACGCAAAACATCCAACACATTACATTTTATTTAGAATAAGTTTGTAAAAGAGGAAAAATTAGTTAGAAAGTGTCGTTACAGATGTGGCAAATACTGCAATCTAGACTCATTCATCATGTTCTAATCTGTAGTCCAGTGCTTTCTGGTGTAAATGCAAGAGAGGAAGATTGGAGGAAAAAGGTGCTAACTTTCTGCAAAATTTTCTGCAAAACATTTGACACTATATATAAAATTACTATATTTACCTTATATTTTCAAATTTGCTTGGCTCCTTGAATTTAAGAACTCCAGTTGTGCTCAGAATTAGAATAACATTTGGGGCTCATTTAATGCTGATTGAATAAATAGTAATCTTGCATTATCAATTTCTACTGATTTGTTTAGCTATTCTTAAGCAATCAGCAAGTTTTAATTATTAATCTATAACTTAACTGACGTGAATATCAAACTCCAATTTTGTCTTTGCTAAGCATTCCTTATGGCCACTCTTCTAAATTCTACACAATGCTTCCAAAATCAATTAGAGGCTTACCAATACTAAAATGTACCATTATGCATTGTGGAAATTGGAACCATGATGGCCGTTTCCAAATCTTAGAAACACTAAATGTTGTTGAAGGAAAGGCTGTCATGACATTGTATTTTGTTAATCTGTCATCTGCTGCTGTAACATCACTCTCAACAACTTAGATCTTTACGTGGAATTAACTCAGTAACTTCACCACATAAATTATCCAATCACAATCGAAGTATTCCCTTGCACCTTCATACAAAAGAACATTGTGTTGCGCAGTGTGGCTGTGCAATCAATAGTCATCATCTTTGACCTTCTTTAATGGGCAAACTGAACATTTCTGCATCTGATGAAGGTCGGTGGACATTGAACAAATGGAGTTCCTTAAGGCCATCTTAAAAGCGGCTCTGAGAGAATGAAACAATTTTTTTCTGTAGTCTGCATTACTGTAGGCCTCCATGTGTTCTTCAAACATAGCTGACGTCCATCTGAAGATCTTTGACCAAGATAATCAGCATTTTATATATGCAGGTGGTTGGCAGCTACTGGGCTGTTTAAGAGATTAAAACTTAACTCTTTCAGTGTGTGCAACATTATTTATACAGGATCAAAACAAAATTGTTAACCAACTAAGAACTCTTATGGTTAAAGTCACTGACAATAGGTTACAATAAAATAATACATTCTTAAAGCACAAAATGATTCTTAATTCTTAACCCTCAAGAGTACTCTAAGTTTAAAATTGCAGCAAATGGCTAAAATGCAGTTTGAACATACATTTTAAACATCATTTAAATATGATATTTTATAATCATATTAAAACTTACCTGTTACTATATTATGTCAAGATTTAAACCAAACATTAACAAGCATCTAGTTTTAGCAGTGAACGGAGAAGAAAGGGAAAGAAATAATTTTGACCAGTAGTATATATTATTAGGTAAGTAAATAGGCAATCATGATAGAATTTCTAATTTATTTACATATCCTCATTCCCATATTTATTCTTATTTAATAAGAATTGATTTATAATATTAATTTAAATGTAAAACTTAGTACTAAAAAGATTAAAAACAATTATTTGGAAAGTTTAATCTGTAAATGTCTGCAACAGCTATGTTAAAAAAGCGATAATATTGAGATAAATTGTGTTCGGAAGCGATTATAAGGTAGTTATTTCATCAAGCGGCTCAGGTGATGCCATAAACTGTGAGAGCATAACCTGAGTAGTTTCTACTCATCATCTGAATCTAGAGATGAAATTACAGGCTTCAAATGAAGGGTCAAGGTTTTATTTATGATCCAGAGGAGAACTTCTGTGAAGTTCATAAATCAATGACATGACAATCAAGTCAAAGCTCAGTGCATAAAAACAAAACATAAAACACAGACCAAAACACTGAACACTGGATAGTCAGCAAAATGTTACTTTTTCATGCTGCAGGAGGCAACATGTAGATAACGTGCTCCCAGTAGTGGAAGAAGTGAAGACAGGAATATAATAGATGTGTGCGTGAGAGAGAAAGAATAAATAAGGAGAAGCTGGAGCATGGAAAATTATGTTGCTCATCCGATAATGGGCAAAATAGCATTACCAGTTTACATTTGTTATTTTAAATAGAAGAATCATTGCTTTCATCTATCTTCGGAAATTGTATTCTATCTTAATTGAACATGAGCCACTGTAAACAAAATACTTATATTTTCCTTAATTTTATTTTTAAAACACACCTCCAATAAATGCTTGCTACTATCTCAAGACAAGATGCTGACAGGAAAAAGTTGTGCCAAAACTATACACTAGATCCTATACAAGTACATTTACATGATTTCAGAGTTAGGAAAATGAACTTATTGTTGAATTAGTGCTTACCTAATGCTTTTAGTGTATTTTTTTTTACAGTAGACAGGAAATATGAAACAGCCCACTTCTTCAAACACTTGGCAGAACAGCAACAGGGATCCAAAACGTTTTAGAAGAGTTGCCATTAAGAATGTCTGACTTCAAGTCTGAAGTTCCCTTTTACACGATTAGGTGATGCTATGACAATTATATAATTATTAAATTGATACTGTTATTGCAAACAATTTTATGGGATGCCTGAAAAGAGCCCTAAATAGCTTCATCATAAAGATGCTAGGTTAGTATTTTTTGCCACAACTTTGAATTTACTTAACAATTGCATGCAATAGATCAGGTTGTTGACATGAATTTGTATCACTATGGCAACAACATAAATTGTTCATGTTCCTACTTCAAATTGTTTCATATGAAGATTGCACTTTGAAAATTTGGCATGGAGTACTTTCTTAGGTCATTCTTGGAAATGAGCAAACTGCAGCTATACAATCCAAACTTTATTTGCCACAACCACAATTTTCCAAACCTCTTAGTATTGAGTAATGTACTACTCCATTTCTAAACTATATTAAAGGATTTCGAGTTAAATTTGGTTTGAAAAGTTGTCTTTAATCATCAGAAATAATTATTTACATTTTTTTCTGATCTTGTTTAATACTAGGTGCAGACATGAAAAATTTAAAGTGTTTACATCACTTTCTATTCATTGGCAATACACAACACAATAATAAACATAATTAATACAATTTGTAAAGAAGATATAATTTGCAAGATTTACCTAATACTTAATTAAATGAATACAATAGAAATAGTTTATGAGAGATTCATACAGAGCTAGAAGGCATCATCTTTTCTTTTTTTTAAACAGAAAAATCAATCTTAATGACTTTTAGCATACCTAGTTCCAAACAGCAGCAAAATAGGTTAAACTGGCACAATGCAAAATAAAATTAGCAGCTACAGATACTTTCAGGTTTTTTTATATCATGGTTGTCATTGACATTTTTATTTGAAGGAAAATTAATGACCTTGGAAGAAATCCCAAAACATTATGCACAAAGGTATTCTCAGCCATAAGATATGGGAAATTTAATCAAATCCACAAGGGCCATTAGGAGCACATATGCTATTTTAAAATAAGTTGGATCAAGTACTATGTGCTCTTCCTCTTAGTTACAAATTAATAAGAATAACATGTGGGAAGTTCATATTATGTATGAATATATAATAAATATATTTACACACACGCAGTCACTACCCTTTTACAGTAAATTCTCTGAAGCACTTTGAGACATGTATACAGTATTTAGAGTATTGATTGTGGTTTCCTCTTGAACATTTCCTAGCTATATGGCAAACAAAGAATTAAGTATGATGTTATGAAATCCATGAAGATTGACAATGTTTAATATATATTTTTAAAAAGTCAAAAAACACTACAAGCCTGGATCTGAATTGAAGGGCACCAAAACAAACACATCATGTGTACAGAAATATAAAAATGATATTGCTAAAAGAAACATTAAGGTACAAAACAGATCAAACAAAAAGTGCATCATTTTCTTCAATCCAATCAATACCCAGCATAGATTTCAAATCTTCACATGGAACAAAAATGGATCAAAAAGCAGAAGCTCTGCAGATTAATGTCTATATCTAAATGTTTTAAGTTGTGGAAGGGTTAACAATGGATCAACTCATGGCTTCTGGAGGAATAAACTGCTGATTCAGCCCCTACTACCTCAGATGTATTTGAATAAAGGAAAAACACACGGACCACATTGCACAGCAAGTCAAATCTGGAACGCTTCAAGCACTGATCGCACAAGTGGCATGTGACTTTCTCTCACTTAGTACAAACCCATCCCCCAGTTCTCTGTGTGCCCATTTCTCCAGTCACTGTTTACATACTGTGTCAGAGGGAGGGTTGCAGAATGAAGTGATGCTTTTGGATGGTAATGTTATAAATCAGCGCTTCAGGCAGTTACACAGTGGACTCCAGCTGGCTCTAGTTAGCTCCTTATAGTTGACTGAACTACTTTGGCAGCTTGAAAACCAGGTTCCGTGTAAATCCTTAGCAACATAAGACTGAATGTGTAGAGTGCTCCCACAGACTCCAGCATTTCGAGCACTTCGCTGCCAAAGTTTCTGATATCAACTGCCAGATTTTCACCAATCAGAACGATGAGTACAGTCCTTGCTTACTTTTGGAGGGTTATAATGACAAACAATGAAAATATTCCAAAAATCATATCATGCATATCCTCGATCTCAGATTTAATGAAATGATACCATTATATGAAATTATAAATGTGATTTGTTTGAGAAATTATCTAGTTATTAAAGAATGAAAAGTGAGCAACAAAGGCAATACACAATATTGATTTAATGAAATATGAATATTTTTATCTACAAAACCATGTTAAAAAAATAAAAAGTCACAACAGGATGAAGATTATGCCTACATATTTGCAGAAAAAACTAAACACACCACTCATCAGAATGGTACCGTTCATTTCAATCAGTTACTTGATTTGTTTTCAAATCATGCTCATCAATATGAGAAATGTTAATCCTGGGAAAAAGATTCCAATTTCAAGTGTTCATACCCA